GGAGGGGAGGGGAGGGGAGGGGAGGGGAGGGGAGGGGGGGAAGGATCGTAGACTTACCGTTTGCGAACAGCGCCTTCACCTCGTCCGAGCTCCACTCGGGTTCTGTATAGTTGGATGAGTTGTACCACGCCCGCACCACGCTCGGCGCCTCGTACACATCCGCGTCCGCATCGTACCCGGCCGCCCACCTCATGGCCGTCATGTCGAAGACGCCCAGCCCCTGCTTCCACGGATCGGGCGTCGTCCAGCGCTCGCTCATCTCGACATTGTTGTCGGCCCCGCCGACGCTCACAAACTGCCTGCGCCCCGCGCCCACGACGTGGCAGCCGTGATTGAGGCGCGCGGCGGTCGCGTCCGGGCCGCGAAACCAGCGGAAAGCGGGCAAGCTGAGGACGTACGTATCGTTGTACGTCGCACTGTTGTCGGCCGCATTCCACCCGCCATACAAGAACAGCTCGTAGGAGCCTGCATTCGTGCCGGCGCCCGCACTAGTACTGACATCCTGCGCGCCGACGAGACAGAACCCGTCGCGGGTGCCGGGCACGTCGCCCGTCGCGACCTGGCTGTACCACGTGTCGTCGGCGGGGTCATACACGGCGACGGTGTCCAGGTCGAGCTGGCCGGCGGCGTTGGACAGGACGGTGCGGCTGCCGCTCTCGCCGCCCAGGAAGACGACGAGCCCTGCAGGGCCCGCTCCCCCGAACGGCACCGCCGCCGCCTGCCCCCACATCTGCGTGCCGTACGTCGTGAAGCCCGCGGCGCTGCGGTTCGCCCACTCGCCCGACGACAGGTTGTACGACACCAGCCCTGGCACGGGTATCTCGGTGCCCGTGTCGACGGCCGGGTCGGTTTGAGACGAGTGGACGCCGCCGGCGTAGAAGGCCGTGTCGCCGCCCTGCAGCACGGTGCTGTATCCGCCGACGGGCCGGGTGAGGTTGTTGAAGGCGGCGAGGTCGCCCTGGCCCACTTTGGCCCAGGTGCCGCTGCCGGAGCCGTCGGCGGCGAGCTTCCACATGCCCAGGTTGGGCACGGCGTTGCCCGGCGCGCGCATCCCGGCCCAGAGGTAGATGGCGGACGAGGTCTCCGAGGGCCAGAGGGAGGGGAAGGTGAAGACGGGGGTGTCGCCGCGGTCGATTTCGGTCATCTGGACCGAGTCGTTGGTCCATGAGGTGCGCATGTCGATGGAGAGGGTGGCGTTTTGCACGCGGGGGACGACGGTGTCGAGCTCGCCGCTGATGTTTTGCGAGAGCTGGCCGCCGTCGATGTAGAGGAAGTCGCCCACGACGGCAGAGCCATGTTGGCTGCGGCGGATGAAGTCGGAGGCGGACGGCGCTTCTTTCTGAGCGTCGGCAGGTAGTGCTGCGTGTAGGAGAATCGCGACCAGCAAGCTCCAGGTCGCCGGTCTACGGTCAAACGAGGGAAGCATGCTGGATGCCTGCCTTGCTTCTCACCGAAAGAGACATGGAGGTCAGACGGAGAACGGACATGGCGAAAGGAAGGTCGAAGTCTGGAGATGGCACCAACAGCGCGCAGTCGGCCCCCAAATTTCAACAATCCTTCAAGGGTGGAAACCCCTGGAGTGGCGTCTACTACGTACATACATAGTACATGCTTCGCTTCGGTTGGCGCCTGGCTACTGTGCCGGCTGCAGGATGCACAGTATGCAGACTTGTGAGAGGATGCAGGAGGCACAACAATCCTCCGAGCCATTGGCCATCGTGTCCTTGTCGGATGTATTGCCGGCTGGCCGCGAACCTGCCGAAGTGGTTTTAGCCAAATTCTGCGGGTAGCCGTGCAAGCGGCAGGTGCGAAGGCGTCTCGCGAGACCGTGCCGCGACTGTTGTGGGCTCAAGCTGGGCCGAGTTGGCGCCCCAGCCTCGCTCGGGAGTGTCGCGCATCGGAAAGGATTCGGCGGCACAAGGCAGCAACGAGGGACTCGGCGTCGTGCAAAGCGCACGAGCGTACGCGGCATGCGCCGAAACGAGGGTGTTGATGACATGGAAGAGGCGGGGTGGGGTGGCACGAGTGAGAGCTGGTCGACGCCCATTGGCCTTTGCCATATGCATCACCTCCAACAAGGCAATCTCACGAGCGATCTTCCCGCAACTTCCAACGTCGCAATCAAGACAATGATTTGCGCATTTGCGCACTTGAATGCGCGGGGTTGTACGATCGAGCCAGTCAAGGGTAATGACGCAAACTCGTCAGAGCCAACGGTAGGAAATGCCAGAGCTCTTTCACAACGTCCCTTGACGTCATCTTCAAGGTATCGAGACTCTTCTCATAATGTTCGTCTATATTTACAGCATACAGCATACAGAAAAATGAGCTATCTCAGACATCACAGCCAAAAAGCCATAAAAGACGGCGTATATACACACGAATCATCTCCCTTCCCTCTCCCTCTACAGCGCGTTGATCAACTCACTCGCCCTCTCCGCCGCCACCATAATACCAAACTGCGGGTTCACCGTCAGCGGCGCCACAATGCTGCCATCCACAACATGCACATTCTCCGTCCCCTTCACCATCGCATTCTCATCCACACACTCCCCAATCCTGCAGCTGCTGCTCCAATGGTTGACCATCCCCTTGGCATACGCCGAAGGCGTGGTGATATACGTCCGAATCTCCTCCTTGGTCGCATTCCTCCTGATGTTCATGGGCTCCAGGTCGGCGGGCAGCCGGGCGAACAAGTCGTGGATGACGGACGCGATGTCGTCGGCGTCCCTGTTGGCGGCGTCGCTGTAGTAGACGTCGCCGCTGGGGCCGGCGACGAACTTCTCGTCGAGCACGACGCGGCCCTCGGACAGCAGGCCCGAGGTGCCGTAGACGTTGAGGGTGACGGTGTTGTTGGCGGTCCAGTCGCCGTAGCCGGCCGAGTCGATGGTGCCCTGGACGCCGGCGGGCGCGCTGCCGTCCGTGTGGTTGACGTACGTCCAGAAGACGGACGTCTGGGTCGCGAACGCGAGCGGGCCCGAGCGCTGCGCCAGGTACAGCTGCGTGTCGGCCGCGGGCGGGTCGGCGTAGCGGTTGGCGTGGGACGACAGCGAGGGCCCGGTCAGCTCGATGAAGGTGTTTGGGTTGTCGAAGAGGCGCGCGCCCACGGCCGTGTTGTTGATCCAGTCGGACGGCGCGGCGGCGAGCTTGCCCGCCGCGGAGAGGCGCGAGAGCGTCGCCGCGTCGCCGATGCCCGAGTGCATGAGCAGCGATGGCGACTGCACTGCGCCGCCGCTCAGGACGACGCGGCCGGTGGCGGACAGCGGGATGGTGACGTCGCGGCCGTCGACGGTGGCGACGACGCCCGTGGCCTTGGGCCCGGTGCGGGCGACGCGCTGCACGCGCACGCCGTGCTGGAGCTGGAAGTTGTCGCGGGCGAGGGCCGTCTGCAGGTAGGTGGTGACGGGCCCGCCGCGCTGGCCGTTGGCGTAGTCGTACGCCGGCCGGCCGAAGACGCGGTACTTCTGGTCGGCGGCGTCGTTGATGACGACGTCCGAGAAGCCCGCGCTGTCGACGATCCACTTGCGCGCCGCCTCGTAGCCCGTCTGCAGGTAGTACTTGCCGTCCATCGAGTACTGCTCGACCGACTTCTGGCGCTGGTACAAGCGCTCCGTCGCGGCCGCCACGTCGGCGTTCTTCCAGCCCGCCGGGTGGAAGTCGTCCCAGTCGGACGCCGGCGGCTGGAAGTAGAGGCCCGCGTTGATGGCGGACGAGCCGCCGATGGTGCAGCCGCCGTAGGCGTTGACGCGGCTGCCGCACACCAAGTCTCCTCCATCGGCGAAAATGCTCTTGTCTGCGAGGAGTGCAATCAGTCAGAATGCTCAGGAAACGCGTTGCGAGTGGGGTTGAGGCATACAGAGACCCGGAACGTCGACGCGGCTAAGGTTGGTGCCGTTCAGCCAGCCAGGGCGGTCGGTGCCGCCGACGATACCGTACGACTTGCCTCCATCTTCCAGGAGCAGCGTCTTCTTTCCGGCCTCGCTGAGCCTGTCGGCGACAATGATACCGGCGGGGCCAGCGCCGACGACAATGGCATCCCACTCCTGCTTCGTCCAGTCGGCGGCGTTGATGGCGACGTCGAGCAGAGGGGCGGCGGCCGAGAGCGAGCACAGGAAGCCGAGAACGACGGCCGTGGTAGGCGATCTCATGTTTGCAAAAGGAGCGACTGACTGTTGGAAACAGATATATAAAAAAAGAAGGTTGAAAGATCGGTCGACCTCGGCGTGCCAGTCTTCAGGAGCAGGCAGGCTTTCATATAGAGAACGGAGCGTCCATGCAAACGGGCGAGAGAGATGCGGTTCCACTCTGTACGAATAGCAGGCCGTCTAAGCTGCCGATCCCTGGTGGTGTCGCATCGTATTCGGCGGGGGCCAAGCTCAATACACCAGCCCTGCGCCGGTGATTTTCTTCGATTGATGAGCGGCAGGCCCCAAAAGCTTAGCTATGGCCGCTATTGGTATCGCCTGCCTGCCGGTTGCGACGGCACGAGCGGGGAGAGTATTGGCAGTGCTACGGTGATGTCAATCGCGAGCGGCGGCGGCTAAGGCTAAGGCTGAGAGCCAGCGCCATCATCGTGGAGAAATGGACGGTAGGGTTGCTGGCTTCGTAGCTAGGGGCTGCTACCGTCGGTATTTTTAGCTAGGAAAGTTTTAGCAGCTGGACAGCGCGGGTCAGCCTTGTCCTTCCGGTCCAGAGCTGCAGTCATCAACCGGGCCGAGCGGAAGCCAATACGACGACTCAGACCGTCTGTCGTCCCCCTCGCAGCCCCTGAACCCGGTGCCGTACAACGGCCCAAATTTACTTAGCCGAAGCATAACAGAATAATGACCAGCAGCGAAGGCAGGGACCCGCGAACCTTTTGCCCGTCAGCAATCTGCAAGTCCAGCATCCCCTCCAGTACCCAGTCTCGCAGTCCCCGGAGGAAGAAAAGGAAAAATGATGGAGCACCCAAGGACGGAAGCGTGCGCACTCGCGTTACCTCTGCGTATCTTTAGATCCCCCTCTTTTGTTCTCTCCAGCTGAACCTGCACCACCTCGCGCATCCGCTTTCTGGTTACCCTGCATCGCTGCAATGCGCGCTACTGCTGCAAGCTGCTGTAGCTAGACCGCATTCTTGATTTCTCCCGCGCCTGCGCATGTGCACCCTATCGCCTGCTGCCGCCGCCGCCACCCCAAGCCCGCAGCGGCAGCAGCGCTTCCCACGCACCCAATGCCGGAATCCTCATATGCAGCTTCCTTCAAACTCGCCTGACGATGCACACCGCATCCGAAGCACGTCTCAGCCTGCGCGACCGAGTTCCTCAGGTTGATGAGCGAGGTGATAGGTAAGCGTTGGCCGCTCCCGGAGCAGAAGCCCGGGCTCCGAGTTCCCGGCGGAGAAAAAAATAATTGGCGCGCAGGTAGGGCTGACGGGCATGTGGGTCCCCGCCTATCCTATAACTTGCGTCATCAATAATACGTTTCTCAAAGGGTTGCCAACGGGTGTGGTGAGGATTCCAAAGGAAACCCGGTCTTGTGTCTCGACGTTGGTCGCAATGCTCGCCTCCGGTCCCTGTTGTCCTTTTGGAATGTTTCTCATTTGCTACCCTTTTCCGCTTTCTTCTCTCCTTCCGTCCGAGAGCGCAGAACATAAAAAAATTCCCCGTTCTTCAAAGCGAGGCCGCTGCAGAAAGAAGCAAACCGCTTTGAGGTCCATCTGGTATCTCCGTCCATAGATTCCGCAGCGCTAATAAAGAGCAAAAGTTCAACCCTGTCCGTTCAGCAGCAGTTTCCGCTATCCCGAAAACTGTAAAGAGATCGCTTCAAGAATTACCCAGCAATTAACGCCCAGCCCGAATGTTGTCATTACCATGATGCTCTCTTACCCGCCTTCATGTTGACTCTATGTATCATCTGCAGAAAGGCCGAATTCGCCGCGTCCCACAGGCGTCGGATAAGCAGAGCTTGGGGTGGTGAACGAAGCGGAGATGATGTAGGGGAGGAGGACGAAATCAGTTGCAAGAAGAGGTGGAATACACACTTGGGAGCCGACCACCCGCCGGATCAACTGGTCGGCTTCTGACCGTACACCATATGCAGCGTGTAGTACGCATGCACCTTCGGGTCTCTGACCGCCTTCCGCGCGCCGGCGATGAACACCTCCGCTTCTTCCCTGCCCCAGCCCAGCCCTCTTTGCAAAGGGCCGGCACACGCAATGCTGAACGCGTCGATGACTGCTGCCTGCATGTACAGGCCCGCTGTCCTGAGCAACCTGTTCTTGGCCCACGCGCCTAACGGCACCTTGATCTTCTGCTCGACGACGTTGACGAAGCCAGCATCGCGGAGCTTGCCGGCGATCTTCTGCGCGACATGGAAGTCGTTGCCGAATCTCGCAAAACCCTCGCGGCAGGCGCATGTGTACTGCATGTATCCCCAATCGTCCGGCATGGAGCCGTCGTCGCTCTTCGGGAAAAAGTCGAGCTCCTGCAGCTCGATATACGCGCCAGGCTTGAGCCACTCATACGAGTGGGCCAGCAACTTTTCCCAGTTCCGGATCGCGGGCGCCATTGCGCGGAGGTGTATGAGGTCGAAGGGTGCGCCGTAGATCCAGTCGCTCTCAATGTCGTCGATCAGGAACCGCACTATATCGCAAACACAACGTCAGTCAGTCAGCAACCGAGCCCCCTCCAAGTTCCGAATGCCAACTCATTTTTTCCGCAACCCACGGGAGCGCGCCCCTTCCAGATGATGACGCAAAAAAAACCCCCCCGCGAGGAGGAAACGAAAAAAAGGCAAGAGCATCTCTCACCATTCGGCGGCACGAAGGTCGGCTGGATGGGGCTGAGGTCCACGCCGATGACCTCCGCGCTCGGATACGTGTCGCCCATGTCGACGCACCAGATGCCCGTGCCCGTGCCGAGATCCAGGATGCGGCCGGGCGCGTCGCCGATGGGCGCAAAGTGCAGCTTGTCGCCGCACACGGCCACCGTCATGGCGTGCTTCATGTCCTCGCGGTCCTGCTCCTGCTCGTCGTTGGGCAGGCTGTACCGGCCCTCGCAGTACTTGTGGTAGCGCCGCCCGTTCTCGAACACGTAGTCGCGCACCGACGACGACACCGACGTCGCCGCCGACCCGCCGTCGTCCGACGAGTACCCCGACTCTGCCTCCGAGTGCCCGTCGCCGAACCGCGAGCTGTCCTCGCCGTCCCATGACTCGACGTCGATCTGCGTGCGCGCCTGCTCCGCCGCGGCTTCCACGTCCTCGTCGGTCGCTGCCGCTTGGTGATGGGCGTCCCCCAGCGACGAGGCGAGCATGGTCGAGAGGAAAGCAGGAGAGGAGGGAGAGGAGGGGAGGGGCGGAAAAGAAGAAGAAAAAAAAAAGGGAAGGAGGGGCCGCGACTGCTGCTGCTGCTGGCAAGCGAACGGCAGGCTGCGCGTTTCCCGGTACTCGGTTAGTATCCCAAAGTTTCGTGCGCCCCTTGCGCAGGGCGACAGCAGCGGGCGGGCGTGTGCGAGTCTCTTTGTGCCACCGGGACGCGGATAGAGGTGAGGGCGTGTGGTGAAGTGTCCGGGTCGCTGGGTAGGCTGCGTGTGCGGGCTCGCGTGGGTGTGCGCGTGCGCGTGGGCGCGTGTGGGTGCGGTTGCGGGTAGGGATGAGGTAGCCGAGCGTCTTCGGGTCCGATGACAGCGGTGGAGGCGAGGAAGACGAGTGCAGTCGTGCAGCTGGGGGTCGGGTTTATGGCCTGGGTCTTACGAGCCGCGAATGCGGGTGTGCCGCAGTGCCGCGGACCGCGGTGGGTTTGCGTTTTTAAGCGGAGCCTGGGTGGGAATGGAGCACGCCGGCGCGGCAGCTGTTTCCTTCTCTTGCTTTTTCCTGGCGTTTGCGGAAGGGGCGCGGTGAGTGGGCGAGTAGGCGAGCGTGCAGCTGGTGATGCGGCGCGGGTAACCGGACAGTGCCACAGTGGCTCGAGGGAGATCTCGCGTGGCCGTTGGGGTGGAGCTGGCTCGTTGTCCTCCCCCAGTTTACGCCTCTAGTCCGCCGCTTTCCCCTTGCGCGCATCGGCCCGCAGCCTCGTCTGGGCACCTAAGCCGACGCGGCGCCAGAAAAAAATGGGAAGCGATAACGTACCACCCTCGAAATCTTAACGTACCACCCCGACCCACTTAA